TTAAATTTCTATATATGAATTCTCTCCAGTGCTGTTTTTTGTTTGTTCTTTTTTACTTATAATCAGCTAGATCTTTAGAAGATAAAGTAAGTACTTCTTGTAGAGATCTTACGAGTGTTTGTTTTCTATAATGAATGAAGTAGAAAACAGGACATTGCCATTTATGCGGCAAGCATGCAAGTGGAGTCTCTGTCAGTGTTCATGTTCCCCTTTGGGGCATGATACATGGTGGGAATAAATTAGGCAGATTTTCACCTAACAGTAATGACTTTGGAATCTCCTTTTAATGTCATCACATGTGTCTCACATTAAGCATTATGGCTCCTGTTGGTTTAATAGTCTACTTTTGAGTGAGAAGTGATTTCTGATGACTCTTGTTCTGATGCAATAAAGTCCCTTTTTCCAATCTTTCAGTTTACAATCAAGAAGAAGACTCTTTTTATGTGCACCATGATATACTCTTGTCTGCATATCCTCTGTGTGTGGAATGGCTGAATTTTGATCCTAGCCCAGATGATTCTACTGGTAATTGGAAAACTTAAGGTTGCTCAATGGTTACTAGTCCTGTATGTTTTTTTCTAGCTACTTAAATTCTGTGTTCTCTTGAATGTTTTCAGAATTGTTGCCGATATTTTATGAAGCTACTGTCATTTTATGAAGTTATGTAGTTTTTAACACACTATCACTTAATTGTTTGAGGTCTGTATATCTCTAGACTCGAGATAGGCTAAGGAGGCAGCTACTCCACTGTAGCTGAAGGACAGGGCCTGAAAGCCTTTTGGACTGTGGAACTATTAAGGTCCCATAAAGACCCTATATAAAACCGTGTGCTGTGTCTGATGTCACCAGCTTGAGTTCAGTGGCATAATCTGTTTTAGAAAACATCAGATAAAACTGACATGAAGAGACTTGGCACAAATAATTAGGTTCTCACGTTAGTCTTTTTAACCACATCTGCACACCATTAGTTGCCCCTTTCTGTACTTCTTAATAAAGGTAAACACTGATAATACTGACATCTTACATCTTGTTTGCAAAGCTTGTTCACATTCTGATCTGGTCTTCATGCCCGTAACACCCCATGAAGGAGGAAGGGAGGGGTGTTATTCTCATTATATAAGTGAGGATGCTGGGGCCAACAGATTGAATCTTTGTTATTCAAATTGTGGTTCAAAGACTAACAGCACAGCATTGGCATCATCTGTGAGCTGGTTGAAATGCAGACTTGGGGCCTACCCAAGACCACCTGAAATTTGCCTCTTAACAATATTCACATGATGCCTATGCATGTATAAGTTTGAGAAGCACTACTCTAAACCATTACTTAGTTAATCTAGAATGTTACGTATTTGATTAAAAGTTATGTCTTTTTTTTCTTTTTTTATAATCATAAGTGCATTGTTTCTTCCTGTAGGAAATTATATTGCAGTGGGAAACATGACCCCTGTTATTGAAGTGTGGGACCTTGATATAGTGGACTCTTTAGAACCAGTATTCACACTTGGAAGTAAGCTTTCAAAAAAGAAGAAAAAGAAAGGAAAGAAGGTAAAGAAGTTAATAGATATTTAAACTCTAATGACAAATGGAAATAAGTTTATAGGGGATTAGAGGCATGGGATGGGAGTGGGAGAGTGAAGAACATATACTTTTCCAATAAGATATTCTTGGTGAAACAGGGCAGGTAGTTATGAAGTTATTGCAATGTCTAGCTTCAAAAGGCCCATCCAAGGAAAACTTATTTCTGATTGTGTAAAACCTCCATTGACATGCTATTCTTTATTACACAAAACTAGTTCAAAATTAGTGTATTAGTATGAATAGCTACCATATATGAAAGACTCTCAAGTTACAATCTTCGTTCACATAGTATAGATATTCATACTAATATACTAGTTTTGCACTTTTAAAAAATTTCTATTTAGCCTTTAGTGTGTTGAATTCTAAATATCTGTGTATTCCAGTAGCTTTTTTTTTTTTTT